TTCCTTCTTCTGTATTCTGCACGTGATACATCACAGAAAGTTCTTTTCTCTTTCTTCTGTATTCTGCTGCTGTACCGTACATCAGAGTATCTACTATAGTACAACTATTGTAAAGTTCCTTATAAGGGTCACAGGACAGTATGTGCTATAGTAGAACTATTGTAAAGTTCCTTATAAGGGTCACAGGACAGTATCTACTATAGTAGAACTATTGTAAAGTTCCTTATAAGGGCCCCAGGACAGTATCTACTATAGTAGAACTATTGTAAAGTTCCTTATATGGGTCTAAGACTATATCTACTATAGTAAAACTATTGTAAAGTTCCTTATAAGGGTCCCAGGACAGTATCTACTATAGTAGAACTATTGTAAAGTTCCTTATAAGGGTCACAGGACAGTATCTACTATAGTACAACTATTGTAAAGTTCCTTATAAGGGTCCCAGGACAGTATGTGCTATAGTAGAACTATTGTAAAGTTCCTTATAAGGGTCCCAGCACACAATTTCACAATGGGCTGCCTGTGCTGTGTCTATCACGGGTATCAAAACCCGATTTTAGCGTTACAGTTCTTTAGATTTAACGCTCAGCCACTGAATGGCTATTTGCAGGTGAGACATTTTTCCAAGTATAACTTATCAATAAGTAAAACATTATTCTATACGCTACTTCGAAACAAACAGAAATATTAAACATGTATTTTGAAATGACTCGCGTTCATAATTTTCATCCAAAGCTACACAAGGATTATCTGCACATAGCTGTCCTTTATTTTCAAATCCTAGACTAGTTAACAGTACCCTCCGCCTACATGTGATTTGACCATCCTCGACCCCAGTGTGCAAAGCACGTTTTAGTATGAATTTTCGGATCCACAGTCCGAGCACTTTTGAGTTCTAGGCCACATCCGTCCAAAGAAGCGAGACTTAAGTAATCCTATAGAAAGCTTGAAACAGGTTATTACAAGGTTAGCACAAGAAGAGCTTTTTTTTAAAAAAATCTACGTGTGCTTAAGAGTACCTTTCTCAGACGGTTTGTTACTTCTCACGTCAAGTTACATCTCGTTCAAGGACAATGTCAAGGATCTATAAAAGACAAGTTTCTAATTTCTCAGAGTTTCTTTTAGACATCGAGTTAGAACGAAAATGTGGAGAATTGTATCTCTGCTTCTTTACGTGGGCTTCACAAATCGTAAGACGATTGTTCAAAATCTCTTTATAATCGCTTAAATATAATATTATACAGTAATTGTGTTGGTAATGATTTATCTCTCTTCTTTTTTTGTAGAATGTGGAGTGAACAGATATGCTGATGACCCATTTTCACTCAGAATCTATGGAGGCCAAAATGCGAACAAGGGGATGTGGCCTTGGCAGGTTAGTTTCTTTTTGTACCAATAAACTAACCGTGAAAACGTCTTTTTGAAAAACGCATTAGTCAACCAAGACTACAGAATAATAGCATCTTTCCGTTCCGGAACAATTATTACTTCATTACAACCTTTCTGAAGACAACGTGAGTTGTATTAGTTTTCATTTCTTCTTTCTTCTGCATCTTCTACATTATACTTGACAGAAACATTTTTCTTACCTCGTTCTTCTTTAAGTTTTTGATATAATACATCACAGAAAGTTTCTTCTTTTCTCTTTCTTCTGTATTCTGCACGTGATACATCACAGAAAGTTTGTTCCTTCTTCTGTATTCTGCACGTGATACATCACAGAAAGTTTCTTCTTTTCTCTTTCTTCTGTATTCTGCACGTGATACATCACAGAAAGTTTCTACCTTATTCTGTATTCTGCACGTGATACATCACAGAAAGTTTCTTCTTTTCTCTTTCTTCTGTATTCTGCACGTGATACATCACAGAAAGTTTCTTCTTTTCTCTTTCTTCTGTATTCTGCACGTGAAACATCACAGAAAGTTTCTACCTTCTTCTGTATTCTGCACGTGATACATCACAGAAAGTTTCTTCTTTTCTCTTTCTTCTGTATTCTGCACGTGAAACATCACAGAAA